CATAGGTGCGTAGGCTGGTCTTCTATCCGTGGTCGGTAACCAAGCTCTATGACGGAGAATTCTGGGGAGAGTTTAAATATCGCGCATGAAATGTATTTATGTAAAGGAAATAATAATAATAATATATTTTGAGTTTTTCACCCCCAACAAGGCGTGAATGCCACTAGTACGCAGAGGGCTACAGAACATGAAATCAGAGAAAGAAAACTGAGCATAGAGAGGAATGATGAAAAGACAATACATGAATGGGATTCAAAAAAACAGAAGCAGGCAATTGAGATTGCAATTAAAGTTTTGAAGATTATATGTATCAGGTAAGCATGTAAACTGGAAGGGTTTCCACAAGCGGCAAGTGCGACAAAAGAAACTTTTGGAGTAGAAGTGGCGGTTACATATATCTATTTCAATAATAAGTGTCTTACCTAGAAGCCTGTCTAGTAGCACGCTTACATCCATGAAGTCGGGGTACCATAACGAAAAGGTCACCATAAAAGTATTTATAGAAAAGGCACAGAACATTCTGGCGGTAGGAAAATGAGTGAAGACCAGATGACTGTTTAGAAGTAATAAAATTGAAGCTTCTTCTTTTGATTTTATAATTAATGTCTAAATATACAACAGGATCACCAGATAATATGTGGCAGCAATATTCAAAGCAAAGGCGAATGAGAGACCTACAATTATGTAAGACAATTTCGGGCAATGGGAATTGTCTAGCACGAAACAAACTTTTTTCTCTGGCGACTTAAAAATTTATTTAATATACTATTTCCACTTCATGTCATCTGACAACATTAGTCCAAAATAAGTATGTCCTTTTTTAGAAGATATATATATATGAAAATTTCTCAGAGTTAACCTGTAGAAAAGACAACATTTATAAATGTAAATGTTAATAGGAAAACAAGTTTTTGCTGACGCGTTTCGTCCAATGACCAATGGACATCTCTGTTTAATTTTTTTTCCAATTGGATGAAACGCATCAGCAACTAGTATTTTTTTCCTATATTATTATTTACATATATATATATATATATATATATATATATATATATATATATATATATATATATATAGAGAGAGAGAGAGAGAGAAGAAAGAGATAGATAGATAGATAGATAGATAGATAGATAGATAGATAGATAGATAGATAGATAGACTAACATACATACAAAGAATGAAATATACAGAAAGAGAGAAATAGAATCGATAGCCGAACAAAGTATAAGAAAGGGAATATGCGAGGTATATACAGAAATTACATGGTATTTAGGATTATCTTTTTTTATTATTATTGATGCTTCCCCCGTGTTTATGACTATAAAAATTGCAAAAACTTATATAAATGACTGTCTAATTAAATACGTTTCCGTTTTGTTTTTTTTTATTTTCTTAATCTCAAAGAATATACAGTATATATATATATATATATATATATATATATATATATATATATATATATATATATATATATATATATATATATATATATATATATATCTATCTCGGTGTGGGTTCTTTTTCTCAAAATATAATCAAATACGTTTTTTTTTTCAAACTATACATTTATCTCTGACAATCAAACCTCATTTCTCTCAGAAGTCAAAACAAAAGCGTTGTTATTCACACATGATGAAATACAAAAAAAAAGATACAAACGCAGGCATTGGCTTACATACACAAATAAATATTTTACTTTAGATATACAGACGCAATAAATGTATTAATTCTTGGAAAAAATAATTATATTCTTTGATTAGAAAGATTTCATTGGACAAGATGATGCGCATAACAAAGTTTTAAAAATAAGCAGAAAACCTCATTGGACAATCTGTTACGCAGAAAAAAAAATTAAACAGAGACGTTCATTGGTCAATCTGTTTCGCAGGACAAGTTTTAAAATATATTTTTACATACATTTTTTTATTGGACTACCTGTGCATGATAAATACAATTTTTACAAATTTTAACAAACTACTAAATATACTTTGGTTTGTTTAATTTTCCTTTTAATTCGTGTTCGATATGTGTTATTAACTCATGTATTTTTTATATATTTTAAAAGAAAATTAGGATATTGTAATTCCGATGAATTTGGAGAGAAATCCTCAACTAATAAGGAATAGTTCAAAATATCTGTTGAGAGTCATCAATCTCTTTTGAAGAAATATCAGAATTAGTAACAGTTTGTGAAGTATTAGGTTGGTGCAAAAATAATGACGTAGCAATGTCGTTTTTTGACGTGTTTTTAACGTCGAAAAACCACATTATTACGTCATTATTTTGCACCAACCTAATATTTGCAATTTAGTTAAAGTTATTGGCCAAGTGTTTTGAATCATTCTTTTCGTTGAAGACGAACTGATGTTTCATACGCAAGCCTTTCATGCTCATTGATTAACTATTAGAAAATTTCAAATTAATATATTCTCAATGAACCATGTCATCAGTCAAACAGGTTGTATTCCCTTATCACAATGCTTCTACAACCTTCATTGAA